GCGCGAACTCTGTAGCACCGGTGAGGATCCTGAAATACTTTGGGTAGATTTTAACTCCAAATTTTGTCTGGGCAGAACTCTTTTTAAATTTCTAACTACCAAGGGATTTTTTTATGTTGCGCAGCAATACACACGGGCATCTGATCTTACTACCCAGAGATCAGGGAAAGTTACTTGAAGTCCAGGTTAAAAAATCCCAGCCTTTACAGGGGCTTAAACCCGGGACCTCCAGCACTCAAGGCAGACACCATGCCTTGAGATCATTAAGCCCCCTTGGGAGGATGTGTGTAGTGGATGCAGTTCTGCTGCACATTCCAGGTAAAACTCTAGTTGACTTTTACCACCTGCTTGTCAGGGGACAGTAATCATGTTGGTTGGGGCTGTGAAGAGAACATGATCTATGTGTGTCAGTGGTTAAAGAGCTTAGAAAAGTTGAGTACGAAGTTTTGAAAGACTTAGATTGATGATGGAGAACATTTTATTGCCTTCTTCTTCTTTTGTCCTACTGATTATGCTGTAAAGCGGCATGGAGAGGAGTTAGTTTCCTATCTTTTACTAGTTGTGTAGTTTGTGTTAATGTCATATTGCGTTTCTGTAGTGTTTCTTTTACTCTCTCCACCCATCTCTTTCTTGGTCAGCCTCGGGCCTTGTAGCCTGCTCTAGCCGCTGGCTGATTTTGTTCTATTCTGACCAGATGACCACAGGCATTGAGGAATAGAGAAACTGGGAGGGTACGAGAGAGAGACTCGGCAGTATCCTTCAGATATCGAAGCAGGCCTACTACGTTCTTCAAACCACCACTGGTTGGTGGATATGTCCTGGTTCAGTGTTCTTTAAACCACCACTGGTTGGTGGATATGTCCTGGTGGTTCAGTGTTCTTTAAACCACCACTGGTTGGTGGATATGTCCTGGTTCAGTGTTCTTTAAACCATTACTGGTTGGTGGATATGTCCTGGTGGTTCAGTGTTCTTTAAACCACCACTGGTCGGCAGATATGTTCTGGCTGTACAGTGCACTTCTTCAAACTACCACTTGTTGATGGATATATCCTGGTGGGCTGAGCAAAACTGCCTAAGCATGTAGCAGCTATATAGATTCTGGCACTACACTACTGCATATCCAGTGAGACGTTGTATACTTTAGGCTGAAAGTACAGTGGAACTGCAGGATACAAGTTTCCTAGGAAACAAGGTCACGCTCACCAAATTAAATTGTTTGCCCCAGAATAGGAGGTGAAATCTGGGATGTGAGCTGGGGAGACAAAAACTCTCATCTCAGTGACTTTTAAATGAAAAATGTGATTTTGTCTTTTGAAAAGCTGGAACAAATTAAAATTACTTACACTGATTTTAATGGAGAAAAAAATAGTGTCAGGATACAAGATATTCACCATATGACCTCAATCATGAAACTGGTACATTCATATCCTGAAGTTCCACTGTAAAGGCGGGTTTTTTGGGTATGTTAGCTGTCCCCGAAACAGTTTCCTCTGATTTGCATAGGCGATAGACAGACAAGACGAGGAACAAAATGCAAATGCAGGGCAATAACATAAATAATACAACAAACAAATAATTAAAAAAACCCATTAGAATTGTACTAAATGTTATAATTTCATAAAAGAACTATTGAATCAAAAAGAAAAGACATTTTATTTCTTATGGTAGAAGATATTATAAAGAATAGAAGCAAGCAATAATAACAATTTTACGTGACAAAATCGTATAAACCAGCCGGTAAAACAAGTGACCATGGCAGTGTAATTTCAAATTATCAAATTATTTTCCCCTTTTGCCCCTCGAATGCTATGCTAAAATAAAGGACCATGGACAGGTAGAGATATTCAGAAAAATACTTTTTTAAAATTCCAAATTACACAGGTCACTAAGTATATTTTGGAAGTCGCCATGGCGGAGCGGCTAGACACTCCGCGGATCGGAAGGAAGGTAGTGGGTTTGTTTCCTGGCAGAGCCTGACTTTTTTTTTCAAAAATAACCTTGGCTCCCAGGTTGACCCAGCCTTGAGTGGGTACTGGGTGTAGTCCCGGGAAGTAAAGGTGGCTGGCGTGATGCTGATTGATCTATAAAATATAGATCTAGCCCTATATGCCCCATACACCTAAGGCATGGAAAAGGGCCCTTTACTTACTAAAAATATTTTTTAAATTCACATATAAAGATATAGAGAGCGATAATCAATAAAGACAAACAGAGTGAAGCATTAAATAGAAAAAATTCCCTGGGGCCTAAAAACATGAACTGGGTGACCCAGGTCATGACCCTGTGACCTCTACCACTGAGGCTTATGGAGAAAATCTGACAATAACTTCGCTTTAAAAAAATCTTTGGAGTCACAAGGAAATCCCACAAATGCTTTTTTTAGTTACTATATTCATACCCTTGCCTTTTAAACAGTGGGCAGGTGCACACGAACCAATGGAATTTAACCATTCTTTTTAAGAATAGGTTACTGCAGACATGCCGATATTTGGGCATTTACAGGACTGCCACAGCCAGAAGTGAATAGATTTAGTCTTCTCGGGGACGCCAGGGTAAAAATTTCCTTTCTGGGAGAGACTACATATATTGTTTTATACTACTGTGTGATTATACACCAGAGACACTGTATGTTAGTATGAACAATCACACTTAAAGTAAAGGACCCATTCTACGCCAGTAGTGTATCAGACATAAGATGCTTGACTTGATTTTTGTTTGTTTATATAGACTCTTTATACTACTTGCCTTTACTTCCCTCCAGAACATTACCTTCTAGCCATGGTCAATTATTTGTTTAAAAATCCACATCACTGCGGACTGCAACCCAAGATCTTTGTGCTAACAGGTGAGCATCTAGCAACTACACCTTCATGGCTGCCAAACAATCACATGTAGATTCACAGACATGAAATTATGATTTTACTAAAGTTAAAGAGAAGTTAAAGGTCAATATCAGGCCGAAGGCATATTGTGCTAACAGATATTTGGTGGGATTTTATTTCCCATGATATTTCCTGGAACCAATTTTAGGATGGGTCACCTGGCAGTCTAAGTCAGTTATTTATAATAAATCTGTGTGTTTACTGAACAATAAACTTAGATTGTTACACGTCTACACATATACATACTTGTACATATTTATAGTATTCACATTGTTGGTTACAGAAATGTAATATGAAGTTAAAACAAACTACGTAAATATCAAAAGACAGGAAACTACATCCAACTCCTTTCTGCAATGCTGTACCGCAAAAGCAGTAGGAAAAAAAAAAAAAGAAGAGATTACTGGTTTTAAGATTAAATATATTTAGACGAAAGATGTCTCCAGTGATCTAGCTCCCACAAGCAGAGATTTTTGCATAAACAAACATCAATTATTTATTATAAATTCAGTCCAACCTTTGTAAATTTACGAGGAACTTTTCACGATACTGTCCGCACTGTGAGACTTACCTCCTGTCCCATTCATGCTGCGGCCGGTCACAGGGCCTGTACTATAGGGATGTTTTTCGCAGTTAATAGTTTGGAACCAGTATTTGGAAGAGTGCTGTGTTTTTCGCAGTGAATAATTTGGGACCGGTATTCGGAAGAGTACCGTTTATTCTAGATATTTCTGGCATCACTGGCTGACATTCTGCAGTACAGCCATCACATCTACAAGAACGGAAGCAAATTTACTGTCCAGTACGTGTAGGTGTACATGAAAGTGGAATGGGTCTGTGGCGTACTCAGAAGAACACAGACTGAGTATGGGAGAGGTGATACAAGGTAGCTGGGTGTCCATTACAGGATGTTGCAGAACCAACCACAGCATTTTTGGCTGTTCATGATTTCACAATATCAAGTTTATCATTGCTTTCTGGTAAATTACTGCTATCGCCACACCGAAAGAAACAAAAATCATGATTTTAGAACATAATTACATAGCAACTGTGTTCACTAAACATATGAAGTTGGCTGATGCAATTTGTGTGGTATATCTGATAAAGCATTTATAAAACTTCTTCCTTTCATTCCTTAGTCTTTTGTGGGTAAGAAATTTATAGCTAATTTTATAAAAGCTGGACTGAATAAGGTTACTGTGTTCACATCAATATCAAAACATGCTTTAGAAAGTGTGAGTGATTTAAGATAGATAAAAAGCAAAACATAGTTTACATATGCAAAAATATTGTTGTTGAAGTCGGATGCGTTGTTGTACTGAAAGGTGCAGATAATGCAGCCCAGCTGTAAACCACAATACAGCATGGCAAACACCTTTTGTAAGGGTTAACATGGAAGAAAAATAATAATAAACAAATAAAGCTTAAAAACTTTTACGTTTTACAGTTCCAGTGTTGAATTCAGCAGTGTCTGTGCTAAAGTTTGTGTATCTCACAGCACTAACTGCAGTCTCGTTAATCTTACAAATACAGATTTGGGAGAGGAGGTGTTATAATAACAACTGGAAAATAAAGGGTTAACAAGAAAGGGAAAGAAAAAGGTAAAGAAACGTGTAACATATGTAACTAGTGAACGTTCTTTGGTATTGAAAGAGTTAATTTGAAGTAAAGGCAGATTTGCCAGCAATACTTGCTACTAGCTTGGCTTTCATCTCTTTGGTCAACATTTCTAGTTCTGTAATTTTCTGTCGCAGTTTTTCATTTTTTAGAGTCAACATTTCAGCTTCCTCTTCGAGGTCACCAATTTTGGATTTCCGTTTTTCTGTGGAATTTTTTAAACCAGCCCTTTTTTCTTTTTTATTCTCTGTCTGCCTGTTCGAAACCGCATGTTTGACATCTGAATCAATGTTCTGTGAGCAAACCTTCGTCTCAATAGATAATAGGTTTGATGTTATTTTACTGCCATCCCTCGTGGTCTCCTTTTGTGCACATTCAGACAGAACAGTCTTTATATGATCTTGATTTAATGCATAGTTAAGATTTAAACTGGGATTAAATGATGACGTTGTTAACAAAGAATCAGACGCAGATTTTTCAAATAAGCCAGGGATAATGGATTCATCCACTGATATCTGCAGCTGTGGTTTCTTGACCGTATAAATCCGGAAATGCAGGCTGCTTGGAGGAAAATGATTCTAATCCTAATAGTGAATAAACTGTCTTCTCAAACAATGGATTAGCATTAAGAAGATTTATATCTGTCGTTCCATCAAAAGTCAAGTCCTGCAAAGAAAAAAATTAAATCATATTAAAATGCAATACAAGATAACATCTTTTAAAAGGCCTATATATTTTGAAATATTTACTGAAACAAGAGCAGCAAAAAAAAAAATTTTTTTTTTATCTGAAAAAGATTTTTCTGACCATTAGCATAATAATGGGGAAGCCATCGCAGGGTAGTGCTTGTTTGCCAGCTTGGACTGAAAACTGACCTGGCATTCTAGGTCATTTCACTCTAGAACTGGTACAACCTGACCTGGTCTCATAGGTCAGTCTGATCTAAAATTAGTGCATGAAATGTGCCAGGAAGGGACACAAAAAAAGAAAACTTCTGCTGCCCCATAGTCTGAGAACTTGTTACTTTCTAAGTGATTTCAGTGCCAAGCATATTTATCTTGTAAGAGATGTAACAAACTCATGACATGTTTAAATGAATTAACAAAACTTGTCAGCGTTACTAGAAGAGAGAATTATGTTATGTAGAGTCAGGTTATTAACTGCCAATTGCAATCCGCTGTAGTTTTAAAGGGTTAATGAACAGAAAAACCTAATTTTTAAAAATGCTGAAATTTAAGAAAATGAAAAGTGAAACAATTTTTGTAAAATACAGTAATAAATTTAAATAAAAAAAATTAAACAATACAGAAATGTATGTTTTGAAAAATCATTGGAAAATACAGGAATAAAATAAAATAAAATTTTGAAAAATGTAGGAATTGAAATATATATATATATATATATACACACACACACATATATATATACATATATATATATACACACATATATAGATATACATATATATACACACATATGTATATATAGACATTTCCTGGTGGTTGCATTACTTTATATATATAGTCCATGATACATACTACACACTACACCACATATGTGATCCTAAATCCTCAGGTTCAACCCCCCCCCCCTCCTCCCCCTGCAAAAGTGGTAAATACAGACACTTTTTATATGGGTATATACACACAAACATAGGGAAGACATATAAAGATATATACACAAAACATACATATATAATATAAAGATACATATATGTATTAACCCTCTTATATATAGACGGGCCGATACACACCGGCTATGTCTGGCCAAAAACATATAACGGCCATGATACCCGAACATATATAAAGCCTCATACACCGCTAAGAAATCTACTACTTTGAAACACTACATTCATTTATATTAGATATGCTATATACACAGCTTTATACATGGCGACTTTCAAGTGTTTGGTATAGTGAAAATTGTTGTTGAAGATTTTAGATAGTGACCTGAACCGCAAAGTATGTCTACTCGTATGTTTATGCCCCTAAACCTACATATGATAAAACATTTGAATACAGTGATGACACTAATTATGTTGATACTGGTGGTTGCATTACTTTATATATATATATATATAGGGAATATTTAAAAAAAACTAATGTTCAACCACAGGTAATGTCTATAGATACATGAGAGAATGAAGATGATGTCACACATCCATTTTCTAGTGCTGACATTCAAGAGCTGAAAAATGTATGTCACCTAAAGATATATTGCCCCCCACATATATATACCTGTTTTTGACATTGAATTGCTTACAACATTTGTAAAGGCTAAAGATCAATAAAATTATGTTTCAAATAAAAAAAAAATTTGTTAATAGAATATGTTTCAAGCTTGAAGTTCAACATTTCTAAGTTTCATCTTTCAAATTTTTGATATCAAATGACATAATTTGCACTATAATTAATTGGATTTCTAGCAAAATTCTTAACTCTTGACTCTTTATTCTTCTTTTCTAAATACATTATTTCATCAGGGTCAAGAATAAGAGGAAATCTGATCAAAGCTTTTAAATAAAGTAATAACCAAATTCACTGAAAAAATAGCTCCATCGTTTGCACGAGCGACAACAGGAAGATGGAAAAAATGCTCAGATTAACTTTTATCCCCCCCCCCCCCCCCCTTTCAAAAGTGGTTAAACAACAAAAATTGGACTGGGCTTCAGCTGGTACATAAATTATCAAACTAAATAAGAAAAATAAACATACCTGATCCAACATCACATCCAAGTTTAAAAATGCATCCAAGCTGTCAGTGGCAGGGAGGTCTGTGACAAAGTGCTCTTTGGGAGCATTCAGTGAATCTTCGGGAGCACCCAGTGAACTTATCAAATGTGGTGGAAGGCTGTTGAATAGTGCCTCCGCAACATCATCACCATAGACAACTGAATCAAAGAATGCAGCATCAGCAGAATTAGGACCTCCTGGTGAAAATGGATTGCCTGACAAAGCAGCTGAAGCATCAGAGTCCATGCTGGTGACATCTAGGATACCACCAGCAAAACCTATCATGATTGGAGATTAAGAGAAAACAAGGGTTGTCACTATGAGCAAACATACTAACAAGCATAATCATTACACTAAAGTCAAAGTTGTTCCCTAAGGATTGTAAAGTTATGAAGATTAATTTTTACTGCTGTCTTAGGGCTTCCATTGTACTGTCTTATCTTATGGCTTTCCATTGTACTGTCTTATCTTATGGCTTTCAGTGAACTGTCTTATCTTATGGCTTTCAGTGAACTGTCTCATCTTATGGCATTCAGTGTACTGTCTTATTTTATGGCTTCCATTGTAATGTCTTATCTTATGGCATTCAGTGTACTGTCTTATCTTATGGTTTCCAGTGTACTGTCTTATCTTATGGCTTTCAGTGAACTGTCTCATCTTATGGCATTCAGTGTACTGCCTTATCTTATGGCTTTCATTGTACTGTCTTATCTTATGGCATTCAGTGTACTGTCTTATCTTATGGCATCCAGTGAACTGTCTTATCTTATGGCTTTCAGTGAACTGTCTTATCTTATGGCATCCAGTGTACTGTCTTATCTTAAGGCTTTCAGTGTACTGTCTTATCTTATGGCTTCATGTACTGCTTATCTTATGGCATCCAGTGAACTGTCTTATCTTGTGGCTTTCAGTGAACTGTCTTATCTTATGGCATTCAGTGAACTGTCTTATCTTATGGCTTCCACTGTACTGTCTTATCTTATGGCTTTCAGTGAACTGTCTCATCTTATGGCATTCAGTGTACTGTCTTATCTTATGGCTTCCATTGTAATGTCTTATCTTATGGCATTCAGTGTACTGTCTTATCTTATGGTTTCCAGTGTACTGTCTTATCTTATGGCTTTCAGTGAACTGTCTCATCTTATGGCATTCAGTGTACTGCCTTATCTTATGGCTTCCATTGTAATGTCTTATCTTATGGCATTCAGTGTACTGTCTTATCTTATGGCATCCAGTGAACTGTCTTATCTTATGGCTTTCAGTGAACTGTCTTATCTTATGGCATCCAGTGTACTGTCTTATCTTAAGGCTTTCAGTGTATTGTCTTATCTTATGGCTTTCAGTGTACTGTCTTATCTTATGGCATCCAGTGAACTGTCTTATCTTGTGGCTTTCAGTGAACTGTCTTATCTTATGGCATTCAGTGTACTGTCTTATCTTATGGCTTTCAGTGTATTGTCTTATCTTATGGCTTTCAGTGTACTGTCTTATCTTATGGCATTCAGTGTACTGTCTTATTGTGGCTACCAGTGTACTGTCTTTGGTTTTCAGCGTACTGTCTTATCTTATTGCATCCAGTGTGCTGTCTTATGATTTCTATCGTGCTGTCTTATGGCTTCCAGTGTGCTGTCTTATGGTTGCCAGTGTGATGTCTTATGGCTTCCAGCTTGCTGTCTTATGACTTATAGTGTGCTGTCTTACTGCTTCCAGTGTGCTGTCATATGGCTTCCAGTGTGCTGTCTTATGGTTGCCGGTGTGATGTCTTATGGCTTCCAGCTTGCTGTCTTATGACTTATAGTGTGCTGTCTTACTGCTTCCAGTGTGCTGTCTTATGGCTTCTAGTGTGCTGTCTTATGGTTGCCGGTGTGATGTCTTATGGTTGCCGGTGTGATGTCTTATGGCTTCCAGCTTGCTGTCTTATGACTTATAGTGTGCTGTCTTACTGCTTCGAGTGTGCTGTCTTATGGCTTCTAGTGTGCTGTCTTATGGTTGCCGGTGTGATGTCTTATGGTTGCCGGTGTGATGTCTTATGGCTTCCAGCTTGCTGTCTTATGACTTATAGTGTGCTGTCTTACTGCTTCCAGTGTGCTGTCTTATGGCTTCTAGTGTACTGTCTTATGATTTCCAGTGTGATGTTGTATGGCTTCCGGTTTGCTGTCTTATGGCTTCTAGTGTACTGTCTTATGTCATGTTTGATGTTTTCTGGCTTCCAGTGTACAGTCAAGTAGACTGATACCAGGAGTGATTGCTCTGCCAACTATCCAGTAATTCTTGCTTGTGATATTTTGCCAGAGCTGACTGGACTAACCAGGACAATTTGTGTGCATCCCTTCCGATTTTATGTTTCAATAATCTCAATAACCACAATGATGTTGCTCCTGTTCTTGACATCTTGTGTTGTCCACGGCCATTTAGAAAAAAAATAACACTGAAACCAGCCATGCATGTCGAAACAGGCGATTAAGGAGGGTTGTCGTGAGATTCATTATCTCATCACGTAGAAAACGCTAATTGCAAAATCCAGCTATCACGAACTAGCCTACAAACAAAGAGGCTTTAAGGCACTTTCACCTACTAGATTTCAGAAAACACTTACCACTGTCAAATAGGCCACAAATCTTCCGAGGCAAACGTAGGGAAGGGTGGTGCACTGTTGAAGCCAAAGGTTTCATCGCTCATCTCAATGTCCAGCAGGTCAGCAAATTCATCCAGGGACTGTGGGATCTCGTGCTGAGCCAGCCCGTAGTAGAAACTGCCCACTTGCAAAGCCATGGTCAGCGATCCACGATCTTCTTTCAGCTAACTACGTGTAACCTTCTATACAACAATATATTGGCCAATGATTATAACTATGATAAAAGCCGCAGAAAAAAAAAAAACGATGCTAACAATCGTCTAAAGCCAGACTAGATTCGGAAGAGTGCTAGATTCCTTTTTCGAGTTATCGCTTGTTATTTAGCTGATAATGATTAAGTAATTCAAAATTAAGGAGAAAACCACAATTATAATGTATTAATAATGTTATGTCGCGTCCGGAAAATAATACTACGCTGCTACATATTAAAATGTGTTATTTATTGCCGCCGCTGTAAAATGTCATGTTGCTTCTCTAGCTGCACCGACTGTGTTACCAAGCTGTGAGATACCCGCCACACTGTCACCTGGCTCCACCTTGGCGACCAACTTGCAACACCTTTGGAAGCTAATGCACGAAAGACCAATACATTCACCGACCAACAAGGCCCAAACAAATCTAAACTGATGCAATATTACCTCGGTGTTGCCTCTGGGGGGGGGGGGGGGGGGGGGGTTCCCCTGTTTACTATAATAAACAACGGCGATTGGCTAGCCCCTCTGTCAGTTATCCAATCAGTGAGCAGAATTTATTCATGTATCTATTGTCAACAACATATTTGGGTCAACGGCAAATAGTTCTACTGGACATTCTCCTACCAAACTCATTGTATACTATCTTTATAAATACAAGCATTAGCATTTTTTAAAGAAAAACTAAAGAATTATTGTGTCTAAACTCAGTGTATTTAAAAAGCGTTAAGAGTTATTAAATAGTTTTTTTTAATGACTGTGTTATAAAAGCAGGATTATGAATTAACGTAAGGTGCCGGCAGTAGGTAGGAGAGATTTCTAACTCTTGCATGGCCACAGGTCCACGGCCCAGTTAAGATTTCATCAGCCGGTCAGCACATTTGTTTTTCTCTTTTTTGTTGACAGTGAAAGCTTTTTTTTTTCTCCTTCGATATGAGGGAGAGAGGAGGGGGGGGGGGGTGTTCCTTCTGTGTCCTTGTTTACACAGGCTGGGTCATGCAAAACTTGTTGGACGGAACAGAATTGGACATGTTTGTTTTGCGGCAGATTCAGGTTTACAGTGACAGCAAAAACATTATGACAGGACTAAATCTTTGACTGCGATATTATTGTTACTATAATATTATTTTTCTTCTTCTTCTTCTTCTCCTCTTCTTCTTCTCCTCCTTCTTTTTTTCCTTCTTCTTCTTCTTCTTCTTCTTCTTCTTCTTCTTCTTCTTCTTCTTCTTCTTCTTCTTCTTCTTCTTCTTCTTCTTCTTCTTCTCCTCCTCTTCCTCCTCCTCTTCTTCTTCTTCTTCTTCTTCTTCTTCTTCTTCTTCTTCTTCTTCTTCTTCTTCTTCTTCTTCTTCTTTTTCATCTTCTTTAAAGTGTCTGTCTCGCAACACCAAGATCAAAATATATAAAATTTTGGTTAAACCAGTCGTATTATATGGCTCTGAAACTTAGAGCACAGCTAAAAGAGACGAAGCCTTATTACAGGTTTTCGAAAACAGACTCTTACGACGAATCTTTGGACTCATCAAAGATGCAAACAGCAGGGAATGAACAGTGAGAAGCAACAACGAAATGCATAATCTGTTTTAATCACCACTGATCACTGGCATCATGAGATCTAATAGACTGAAATAGTTGGGGCAGATTGAAAGAATGTCAGATGACAGAGAAGTAAAAACTGTATACACAAGGGAGATAAATGGCCGTAGACCACGAGGCAGACCAAGAAGACGATGGAGAGATAATATCCAGGCAGACCTGCAAACACTTGGTGTTACCAACTGGAAAGAGAAGGCCAACCAGAGAGATGAACGGAGACGGATGATATCTACAGCAATGAACCTCAAGGGCTCGGAATGCTGAAGAAGATTTTTTTTTTCTGGGAACTAAGATGCAGGTAAAATCAATCAAACCAGCTCAACGTCCATCAACTTCACGGGAAAATAATGTCTAAACCATGACAACTGAAGCTACTCAACCCACAGAAGATGGATACTATTCAACACACTATTTTCTACACCTCCAAATCAGACAACCGAGACTGCTCAAACTTCTAAGGACATAAAAACATACCCACCAAAAAAATCTCACTGCCGTCAAAATCAGCTGAGACAAGAGATAATCAACCACCTCTCCACACACACACACACACACACACACACACGCACGCACGCACGCGCACACACACACACACATACACACACACACACACACTCACACACACAGTTACCAAAACCGGTGGAAACAACCGCAAAATCTCCACGAAAAAATACAACATTAAAAGATATGAAACAAAACTATAAAAATCATAGAACAAAAGAAATACTTTTGCAAAAAATACTTGACAAATGGCAACAGAAGACGTACCCAAAACAAGAGAACCAAATACAGAGAAACAAGAAAAACAAATTCGGGGTAAAATTCCAGATGATTTTCCCGTATGGATTGAGTTACCTGAATAAGCAACACAAGAGAAAATACGACAGATTGAAAACCTACAGCATACAGTTCACCTATACTATTCTTTTAACAGACATACACGACCTAGCAAGTAAGTTTGTTCAGTGGAGACCAGACACTACCACGGCAACGATCTCATTGAAGAACTTTGTTACTACTATAAGAGAAATGGAAAAGCATTCAATCAAGGAGCAAGAGAATTTTGAAAAAATAAAAATTGAAAAATTGACAAAAATATTCAAGGACAAGTGTAACACTGAGGAATAAGCGAAAAGTGTCCACCACCCTTCAGTCTCCAGCCCTCCCAGTTCCCAATTTTGTTCTCTTGTGTTTTTCTTAATTAAACATCAGAACACAACACAACAAACACTTGTAAAACAGACTCACAAAACATGTACATACAAAAAGAAAACTTAACACGAAAGGAGAATAAATAAAAATTTAAAAAAATGCACGTATGAAACATATCTTTTAAAATATGTGTTCATATATTTCATATTATATAAAGTAAATTATAATGTGTATTAACCATTTAACACATTATTATGAAGTTTTTTAAATAATTATTTTCACCATTATTATTAATAATGGGCTAAATGGAAAGTAAATACGATAAAATACTGTTACAGGATTTTGCAGAACCAACACAAGAGTTTTGTGTGTGGCATGTGCGGTTTTTCTAGGAAAATTTACGTTTAATAGATGAGTACAGGGTCGTCCTAAAGTACAGGCACGCTGGACACTTGCCTGGTAGCCCCACGAGCATTGGGTCCCATGCTAATCTGTGAATGTCGAATGACTTGACATACATAAACTGAGCCGGTGGCTGACTGGTCTCGAGACTTGGCGTCCGCATCGAGTGCTGGAGATCCTTGGTTCAGGCCCCGGTGAAAGCTGAGATTTTTTCACATGGACTAGTAATTTTCCCTGGTCTCTGGGCAGTAAGATCAGACACCCGTGTGTATTTTTGCGCACATAGAAAATCCTTTGGCAGTTGAAAATCTAAAAGAATAGACTAACGGCGCTGTGCAGGCAAAATTTGGAGTTGAAAATGTACTCGAAGTATTTTAAAATCCTGGATGTTGCTACGGAGTTCGTGCACTGCGCTGAAGATCTCCTACTCAGGCTTGAGTTAGAAGTAGAACGGATCACTTAAGTGTTACTACCCTTGTGCCAGGTGTTGATAGTTGTTTAAACCAAATTAACTGAGCTCCCAGCACCTGAAACATGTGCAGGGCCAAAGTGGTTTCCCCTATACATGTATAGACGTTATGTTTTCAAGTATTTATTTATTTTATTTCAAATATTTATTTACCATTTAACCCACAATAATAATAATTGTTTTTGTTATTACTATTACTATTATTATTACGCACTTAACTCTTTCAGTACTATACAACGCACAGTACGTAGGTTGACTATTCAATACATTGTATACATTCCGGCGAGAGGCTCACCACAAACACCCACCGAGTACCGACTGGTCTTTAAAATATACGTCTAGCCCTATATGCCCACTACGGCCGAAGGTGTGGAAAAGGACCCTTTACGTTTTACTGTATTCATTCTTTATTTTCTACTCAGTTCTTCTATGACGTTATTCCTTTATATTCTGTCTCTCCGACAGAATCAGTCGCATAGTTAGATTAGTTTAATGCGGCCTGACTCAAAGGTTGTTGCTGCGATGTACACAAACTTTAAAATACTGGGTTAAAGTGGCGAGTCTCTGCGACTGAAGGAGCTGAAAGCTAGCTTTGTGTTTAACCCCCCCCCCCCCACCCCCACCCCCAACCCGCTTACAAGGACTCCTTTCCATGCCCTTAGGTGTATTGGGCATATAGGGCTAGACCTATACTTTATAGAATAATCGATACATGGTGGTTGATGTGGTCGGCATCACGTCTTTTTTACTGTCTGACATTATTATTATTATTATTATTATCTCATAATCATCATCATTATTATTTAGGACGGCGCCGAGCAAGAGAGTAATTCTGAGTGTGGGGACTGAGGGCTGCATATGTAGTTTAGTTCCTGCGGATTTATAATTCATTTTTTATTTGGGGGGTACCATGACTGAAAACAAATACCCCCACCTGACGGGGATTCGAACCTTTGTCTACCGAAGGAGAGCTTAGTGTTCTAGCAACTCTGTCAAACTCTTTTGTGTGAATGTGTAACGGACTAAAACCCACAATTATTTTCGATTAACGCCTTTCCCCTGACTGTGTTAGTGTGACCGGCCTTTAGGTAAGAAAAGAAATCTTATACTGCAACCAATCAAGCATGTCGTAAGAGGCGCTAAGAGCTTGGGTTGGCTAGATGATTACATAATCTCATAAAACACTTCAGCAACATCGCCTTTTATAAAATAAGGAGCATGTGCAATAAA